GATTTCTGAGGACGAGTTGACATGTTGAAGAGTGGCAAAGCGGCGTAGACTAGCGTATGTATATGTATCTGTGTGGAGGGAGGGGGGGATGTTGGCAGCTTATATGGAAGCTTTTCAAAAAGTCGGGAATGGAATGTGAGGCGTGGAGCTTTCTTGGGGGGGGCTTGTTTCGGAATGTTTGGATGTTTGGCGTTGGCTCAAGTCGAGAGATCCAGTTCTTATTATTCCACAGTTACTAGGGGTTGGTAAGAAAACAAGAGCTCCGCAAGGGTGGCCCTCTTCTTTTTGTATGTAGTAGGGTTATGTAGGTTATGTATGTACTATGTATGTAGAGGCCTGACCAGATCCCAGAAAAGACAGGCCCCAGTCTTGGTTGCTAGCTAGTACACAGCTAGTAAGAGGTAGTACTTCGTACACAGGACAAGTATAACCGTATAAGAACGCAGTAATATGGCGCAAGTATCCAAGTGGGGAACTGACTGGGAGCAGGCCAGCAGGTGTCCAATTTGGTCGTCTGTATGTCCAGTTTGTGCCTGGTCACGAATAGACTAGGGTGTAAAGGGTGTAACCTATGTATGTATGGACAAGCAGGGCAAGGTAGGGAGGTAGGGGTATAATAGTGCAAGAAGGAAAAAGGAAAAAAGAAAAAAGGATGGAAGGAATAGCGTGCTGCCTAATAAAATCCCGATGACCTCGGCGTTTCGCGTTTCCTTCTACCAAGCGGATCCGTCGGGCTCGAATAACAACTTCATTCATGCGTCGAATACTTCTCGCAGTGGCTTTTTTTTTTCTTTTCTTTCTATGACACGATGTACTTTGGAACCGTATGTACGATATGTACAGGGCGTGCCGATGAACCTTCGGTCTGGCGCTTTGTTATCTGTGTTTACAATATGCAATATTCCCAGATTAATCCCGGGAGTGGTTGATTCAGGGCGACAGAGTGGACAGCTATATACCATGGATCTGCTTGCGACAGCTGTTCCCAAGATAAGAGATTAATAAACTGTGGATGTATTTAAGTTGTTTCGCATGATTTCCAAAAACGAAGAAAACAGAGCCTCGGGAATTAACAAGGCTCAATTTGATATTTTATTGACCGTCTAGTTTTACGTTATACTGTGTCCTGTAGAGTTATGTACATAGAGTTATATCATGCGATGAATCGTGGCTTAACGGTATCGAGATCCGTAAATGTGTTTTATTAATCCATTGAAGATGTAAATTGTTAGGCAGGTAATGTCGTAGGACCACACTATTACCTTGAACTACGTAAGTAGTTGTAGTAGGTTTACTCTAAGATGGAGGGAAGATGCTGTCATCTATTGCGTGTACACCAGTATCATGAATCGGATGAAAATCCGGCGTTGCGCACTGTTCGAATTACTCTACCTAGTGATAAATAGGGATGCCTCCTGTTAATATCTGAAACGCTCCGAGGCTTGTTATAGGTATTTATTCTCCATTCTAATATGGTCCTATACTACTACACAGGCTATTGATGAAATGTGGTTAATACTGTTCTGATATTGACCTTACTCTAAAGCAGCAGCAAGCGATGACCACGAAGAACTACGATGGCTAAGACTTGCTGATACTTGGCTTTGGCATACTATTCGTTGGATGGATCTCTTACACGTGCTACTATTGGGGGTTTAATTTCTACTGCTTAATCACTTGCAGATGCAAACCTGTAGTGAACTGTCACGATCCGATCTATGAAGGATGGCATTACCTAACAAACAAATAGTTGGCTTGATATAACTATGTAAACTCTCTACAAGGCTTTCAGTCGAGACTCCATAGAAAGAAGAAAATCCAATTGAGCACTGATTGAGATAATAGCGCTTTTCACACCAATCCTTTTCACTCTAGGAGATCATGAGCTGGCCGAGCCTCTGCCTTGAGCCCCGATGAATCTGCTAAGTCTCGATCCAGACCCTTCTCCCCGCTAGACCTGGTGACGATCACTAACGGTAGGGATCCTCCAGATCCCACACTATAGCCAACCCACTAGAAGCCCCAACTGTCCAGGAAAGAAAACATATTTGCCACTCGCACAAGAATAGCATCATAATACCACGGCGTTTGTTTTATAACGGTTCACAAAGAAAGATGGAACTATGTAAACTCGACAGAAAAGATCCGGTATCAAGCCTAATCCCCTTGTCCCAGAGCGTATGCCCCCTTGCGCGGTCGCGACCCGAGTCTCTGTCGACTCCAGTTTTACCCTCACCACGGTTCTGTGTATGAATGGATCTATCTGATCTTGCAGATCCACTTTCAGGGTGGACTTGTGGGGGGCTACGAAACTTGGAGAACAATCATGAAGTCCCGCGACGGTGTACCTTAAAGGTTAGGGGCCGACAGATGGAAGTTCGATACAGCAATTGACCTTGCGTAGTCAATTTAGCTGAATATTTGGTAGTTTTACGTATAACCGTGTAACCGGTCAGATACTAGCATTCGAGGGTAGGTAGTTGAGCAAAAACGCCGACAGGACGCCTACATGCAAGCCTGAAAACCACAACTGCAAGCCTCTATGTGAAAAACAAGTCTCGTCGCTGATTTTGACCACTTAGATAATTTCCGTATATGCGTTGAATCTTTCACTATCCGGATGCGTCACTCGGTATTTTCTTTGAGGAGCTGAGAAGTTGACCGGCGAAGACGGATTCTTGGCCGGCCGTTCTTGAATCTTCCATGAAGCATCTCGCATTCTAGACTTCAGATAACTGTAGATAATACATATAGCCTCACTTAACAATACCCCTTGCTACATAGTGTAATTTCCCGTGATCTAGATTCCCTATCCAGATGATTCCATCAAGAAAATCTTTGAAACCGACAACATACGACTGATTATGTTATCCGGGCCTAGAATCTCGACCTAGACGGAACCAAACGATCGACAAAGAGGATCGAAGATTCCCGTTGCCCAGCCCTGCCCCAGTAATGTGGCACATAGATGGGAACGGTGGGGTCTTAGGGCGTTCCAGATCCAAAATCTTCATCCATAGTCATTTTCTTATGATTATACGGAATTATACATATGTCTAGGTACATAATAGGAGGTAACACGATTAGGTTTACATTTTACGTACGGAGTACTACTCAGGAGAAAGCAAATTGAAGATTGAAAACGGGTAGCATCACAATGTCGCAGAAATAGGCAACCCGCTTCGAATTAGAATTTTCTACATTATTCCGTACCATTGAGACTAGGTACACAAAATTCTCCGGATCAATACTACTACATACTACCACTCCCATGCTGTGTGAGGCTAGTCGCGAGCTCGTGCTCCTCATCCCAAAGCTTATGCCTTATTCGGTCAGGACTATCTTTGCGAACTATTGGCAAGTTGGTTATGGCATATGTCCCTTTGCCAAGGATTAGAATGCGATAGATCGCAAATGTTTCGCTAGACAACAAGTTTCAAGCTAACCGCTGATCGAGATCGAAAAGTCGATCCATGTTGAGTATTTTCCCATTTCTACGAAATCGGATTCTTTTGCATAAATCATGTCCCTCTCCCCCGCTCTTCTCATTGTCCACGCGCGATTCTTTGTGCACGGGGTCGATTTTAGGATATTTCCTTCTCGAAGTAAAAATATGGTCTTACTACTTGGGTAATTTACACAAATATGGACTGTACCGTGAATCATCACAAGCTCTTTCGTCCCCTGTCGATCTTTGTGTAAATCCGCGACTCAAGCACAAGGACACAGGGACAAGCTTAGCTCCCCTCCCCAAGGGCCCAATCTCTCGCGCATAATTTCCCTAAATGTCGGTACCCGTTTCTGTACTTTTCCGTAAATTATCCGAGAACAAAATAGGGCTCACTCAGCTCCCGAGACAAAGGCAAAATTGCTTTCCCAAGGTTATGCTAGGTCAGCCTCACCGAGGATAAGAGTCCATCCAGTCCACACAAAGGTCCAGGGCGCTCGCGACTTCGGAGAGAATTTCTGTGGAGCCCTCAGCCTTTGTTGGCTTCACCGCAGGTCAGACTTGGGCCGCTAAGCCTTGGTGCCGAGTCTTCCGTTTATATCATGGGGATACCGTCCGGGTTGGCATTATCCGAATAGGGGGTTTCCGCGGGTTCCTCATTGCCCGTCTTTGAGCTGACTGCGTGCCCTGCCCGTTGAGGCCGTGCGCGGATAACTGAGTCACTATATTTAATATATTCTTTTTACTAGGCCGCGTATGGAACGCGCGTGATGTAGTTTATGTACACGTACGGCGTACGTAGACGCTTAGACCGCTGTTTATTTAGTAAGCGTATACCTTATGTGGCGTAGGGAAGGATACGTTAATCCCAACCGGTCTGTAATCCTCGAGTAAGCCACTTTAGGTATTTAAAGTCTTCTACATACATATTACGGGTGGGCTATGCCGGGGGATCGTTCCACCACCCTCGGGGTTCGGCTCAGTCTGGTGTATAATGCAGAAGGGCAAGCTCCGTAACGCCGTGTCTTTCTTCCCGGACATACACGGGTGTCTACAGTCCCCGTTCTATATCCACCACCCGGTCTATAGAGCAGACTGTCTATAGAGACGTTCGTGTATTGATGACTGCAGGGAGGATATGCAACCGGGAACGTGCATACAGCAGTTATCCTGATTTTATACTTACATATTTTGTTAAATGGCTCTTCGGCTTGCATTTAATCATAACATTACTCCATAGCATGTTATATCACCTCGTAGTCCACCATACCAACACCTGCGTGAGCCGACAGGATTCGGTCTTTGACTGGCTTATCGGAAGGCGTACCTAGCGACCCTTTGCATAGGTACCCTGATTAACACATCCTGTTTTCCGGTAATATAGTTCTATGTTCCAGAGCCTCGTCTATCTACCTACAACCGGGGAATAGGTACCCAATGTCAACCCCGGATCCTAGACAGAATTAAGGGTCTGCCGCTTCATAGCTGCCACAATATGCACGCCATACATGCTTTTGTTGAGCGGTATACACTTCTCGACTGTGTGTATGTCTAATATCAACAAGCCTTGAGGTCCAATTGTCGTACAAGTTGAATTGGCGTTTATTAGCTGTAGTGTGACCTGTCCATGTCTTAAATCTCGTCAGGAAATCGTCATTGCATAGACTGTTGTCTTCATTCATTGACATGCATATGTATATCAGCCCGTGGCTTTCCGCAGTGAAACATTATCGAATTGTGCCCTACTATCGAAAAACACCACAACGCCCCATCCGAGTTTCTTGCGCACCCAACGTGGCCCTGAGGGAAATTCGTGAATAATGCATACGTTCCATCCCAATCAAATCGTATAATGCTAGCACAATTAAAGATACCTATACACGTCAACTAGAATCCCTCCATTTTGACGTCGTCCCCATTATTGGACTTTCCCAGATTCTTCAACAAGTAACTCCTCTCGAAATACTTGTTTGGATGGACGATCGTCTCGAGCTGGGCAACGGTCATAATGCCCTCATCTTTAGCCTTCTTGAGTTCATTCTTATGCACGTATTCGAACACACTACACCAATCAATTAATCTGGGTCCAATGCTTCACAATGCCACAGAATTGGGCGGAGACTTACCGATTACAAGCCATGTGGAATTTCTGATTTTCTTTATCTTCCTTGACTCCTTGTAAGACTGACCGGTCAGAGATGCCTACTTGTTGGAGTAGGGAAGTTAGATTCTCCAGGTTGAAATGCCGATATGGACACCCGTGTGCTTCACCGGGGCCAGGTGGATGCTCCGTTAAAATCTTCTGGCACGAGAACGGCGAGTAGCCACCTGCGCGCCTATTTGAATCTCCACCGACGTCGCCATACGTGTGTCTTACGTTGTATCTGTACTCCTTATTGAAAGTATCGTCTGTGATCTTGTGAAAGGAAGTACGCCAGAATATTAGACATTCTTCCAAGTTTAAACCGATACCCTTCAAGAAAAGCGTGTATTGTAGACGGCCAAAATGTTTCAAATGTGCATCCCGGCGCAGCGATCGGTGAAGGTGCTGCATACATAGGGGGAAATGTGAGGATAGATTATCGATATTCCGCGCTGTGATTTCGGCGCCGGGGACGGCAGAACTGGTGCTGGTATAAGCCGCGTCAGGAGTGACGAAATTCTTAGAGAGGTGATCGAGGATCGGTGTAAGTCGATCGTCCTCATCAAGTCGTGGCAGTGCACGCGCCGTAAGCTATAACAAGTTTGGTTAACCTACTTAAGCACACATCTCGTCTGAGAGAAGACTTACCTCTAGCGATCGGTCTAGTCTCTTCGTAAACTCAGCAGTGACCATACTTGGTAGCTCTTTTGAAGGAACATAGGCTTTGCCGGCCTTTAATAATACCCTCCTAGTTTCAACTAAATCGGGTACACGCTCCCAATCGACTTTATACCAAGCTGTCTCTTCGTCCCCCTTTCTGGAGCCGATGGTCGCCGTCAATTCGGCAAAGTACTTGTTCCTCTCGTCTTCGGCTACAGGTTCCCAATCCAAGTTCAAACTCTGGATAAAGGCATTTCGCTCGCGCGCACTGTCCTCGGCTAATCGCAGACGGAAGAGCGTTGTCTCGACGCGACTAAATCTTCGGCGCAGGTCCTCGGTTGATGCGAATGCAAGTCGGAGAATGAAATGGCTGTAATGGTCTTTTTGCCTCTCAGCCAAGAGCTTAGACGAGGAAGATGAGTTAGAATCGAGTGGGAGGTATTTCTCGAGCAACGGCTTCATGTGTGCGGCGGTCTCGGCAGGGGATTTATTGCGGAATGAGCATGCTTCTAGTTCGGCGAGGACTATGATGATGCCGTCGTCAGTTTAAGATGTAAATTTACAAAAATACAGACTTGATTCATACCCCGAAGCCTATCGATAGCCCATTGTTCAAATTGTTCCAAGGTAATGTCTGCCGTCGGGGGTGTCTCGTAAAAATTTAGACGATGAGGATATTGAGTTTCCTTATAGGTAGGTTCGGCAAATTGTTTCTTGCGGTGGTCGACGACATTTCGTCTTTTGGGGTCTATACGATTAATATCTTGCCTTAACATCGTAACAGGTTACAGATCCTAAATAGCATATAGCATATAGCATATAGCATATGGCATATGGCATATGTTATGGGGTATCAATCCTAGATCGTGAAGGTTTACATGGAGACTTTTCGTCACATTATGGAATTTTGGGCGACGCGACTTTACTAAGGAAAACGCGTCATAAGAGGTGGAACGCGACTGTCAATTAAACAGGACCAATCAAGTTGCATTAAAGGTAAAGCCAGCACAACCCCACTATGTACGAAATACATAGTGGCAACCTCCAAAACCTCCAAAAACCTCCAAGACTTCGGCCCCACCTCTTTTCACGCTCTTTTATCACAATCACATATACGGAATATAGTACCATTTGATTATCCGTATATGAGACTAAGCCACACTCATGGCATCTAATCTAGATCTCTCTACCGGACCGTTTATGGATGTCTTAGCTCGCATAATGCTGCCAGATACCTACCGTATTCTGTTGGACCAGCGACATGATCATCGCTCACTATCAAAAAGCAGCGAGCGACAACGAGCTCGTGAAGGCACATGATACTTTTTGACGGCCCCGTCATTGCCGAAATCGGGTTGATGAAGCTTCAGCCACTGTGCCAGCTGTCAGAAATGGATCGTGGTTCCTAGGAATAGAGGTGTGCTTTAGATTTCCGAAGCATTCAAGCACCCAATGGAGATATTGGTTATCCGAACCCCAGCTCTTTTTCAGCTGCCTTTGAGCTCCCACCGACCTTCTTTCAGCCCATCTGGTTCCTCTAGAGAGGCTCTTGCAGGTAACCTTTACCGTCATTGGCTAAACCCCTGTTCGCCTAACCAATCAGCATCGAATTGGGATGTAATTCGATCCCGCCTTACGGATGTACTCGTACCGTATGTTGCTGATGCCCTTGGGTTTCTAACTGCCCTAAGCCTTGCTTTGGTTTCGAATGCGTAGTATAAATCAGCGGGAAAACTATGGATAGTTTTTCGTCGGAGGCCTCTGGATTTGAACTCTTTGATTCGGACTTAGTCATCATGAAAGATGATACACCAGATTCGCACCATACTACGACTCAAGATTGGGCTCGATTACAGGATGTTATCACGAAATTATACCTTGACCAAGATAAGACCCTCGAGGAGGTCAAGTCGTATATGGAAGAGCATCATGAATTCTACTCTACGTATGGACTTACTGGATGGGACTAGACGATTTGGCTAACATTGGACAGTGTTCCCATGTATAAGAAGAAACTTGCAGCATGGGGTGCTTTCAAAAACCTCCGATTTGATGAGGTCCTTCAGATACTCTATTTAAAGAAGCATCGCGATAAAACGCACAAACCATCTACATTTTATATCAGGAGCCGAGAGGTAGATCATGGTAACCTCCAGCTGTATCTGTCTCGAAACCCCTCTGTCTTCGCGAAGCTCGAGGCCGGGGCAGCGCCCAGCCCGGAAGCAATTCGAGACGTGACTTGCCGAACCCCTCCGTCAAGCTCGTCTATCTCAATTCATAAACGCCTTTCGCCACGGCCCAAATGTCCAACCCCGGCAGGACGGCGTAGCCCACTTCCCTCTTTCCCCGAGGACATGTTTCAGGCGCTGCATATTTACTTGGACAAATCTTTTGAGACGGGCCTCTGGTCTTGGTCAGATACCCATTGTTGGAATGCCCATGGCCGATGTGGACCTTCAGGACTCTTAAGTTCACTACTTGATAGATGCGTAACCGCAGGCCTATCAGTGTCTCGTCAAGCACAGCCAGGTGCAGTTAGGAAAGCCCTCGATACCCCATTTTCAATGCTGGCGAGGGTATTTAGGAATCCTCCACCAATTCTCATACCTAAAATACTATCGACTGCTACTCATTTAAATCGAATCGGACGCGGAGAGGTACGCGGTTTACTACTTCAATTTTGTCAGGACCTCAGCATGGAAATTTATGGTCAGAGTAGTCCGCTCGCGAGATTCTGGAAAAGTCTCGTATCAATCCCTTACATCGAACAGCGGGATGCCACGGAGCGTGTCTTAGCACTTTGTGTATCGGAATATGGTACGCGGCTAGGATCGACTCACCCCTTAACTATCGAGACATATCTCAAATATTTCGACGCCGTAGAAAGGGAGAAGGATCCTAGAGTTCAATTACAAAGTCTCCAATACCACTTGTCTAAGATCCGCGACAACTTTGCTGACCGGTCCTTACTCGGTTTGCTTAAATTGGAGCATGCATTAGCGACTTGCAAATTGAATTTGAATCAAGGATTCCTAGACAAAGCCGAAGAAGCTTTATCTTGCCTAAGTCCTAGTTCCCTGGCGGCTAGGGATGAATCCTTTCGTTGTGTCTGGCTTGGGTATATCAAGTGCATTAAAAGGGACTTCCGACAGGCCGAGAACTTTTATAGAAACTCGGTGTTTGCAGCAAGGCTTACTGGCTCCCGCGATTGCATTCTTGAATCTCTCTTCCAACTTGAGACCTTCTTATTGTATATAAAGAAACCAGTTGAGGCCGAGAAAATTCGCGCAGAGCGATTTCGAATGTTTCGCAGATTGGATTCCCTTGTCTGGGCTGATCAGAGCGAGCCAAATCCTAGAGACAACACTCCTGGTCCTACGATCACGATAGTACATATCGGTTCCACAAAAGATTCTTCCAAATGGAGGCCTTCTGCCTTTAATGAGGTCACTGAGTATGTTAGTGCATCGGATTCCCAGCCATAATAAGCACGTGTATTCTAGGACTTCTTAATAATGAGATAGCATTTGTAACATAAGCAGTGTGTTAGTACACGTGGAAATAGATGACAAGGATAGCATTCGGTTACTTTGAAATAGAATAGTTTGTCATGTTAATTCTATTACGTTGTGGCGTATGTTCATTTACTCTAGTAATGTTCAGAAGTATATTCCGGATGATAATAATTGTGGTTGGTACTTTCATGGAGATTAATTACTTGCTACCTCTATGGTAGCTTTCAGTCTAAGGCATTAAAACAAGCTATCATTTGTTTATTAACTAACCGTATAAAGATACTATGTTTAGTGACAGTCATAACTATAGTCGATTTTTAGAATAATGACCTTAGCTTCCCTACATCGGTTATATTACCAATAGTTGTGAAAGAGTTATATGCTCTCTCTGCCCTTACACTTCCAATTTGGCGCGAGGCTTGGTCGATGAACTTTGTCTTTAGATCCTCCACAGTCAGAGAGTTCTCTAAGCTTCCAATTGCGTGTTCGATGTAATTTTCCTTGGTGCTATCGTCGTTGAAGGTTATTGTGGTGTACGCTTGGTCCTCGCCTACACTGTTGTCCGTGGTGACATTGACTAACTTCCGCATGCTTATTACTGTCTCGTTCTGTACAACTTGATCTGTAAACTGCGTGGGAGTTGCTTGGCCGTATAACAGTGCAACAGCGGCGGCGTGGTATATACTGAACTTGCCTTCGAGCCCTGTCTGCGGGTCTGTCTGGCCGGTGAGTACCAGTACTTCTGGATTTACGCGTAGGTTAATGCTCTTAATCGATTCAATCGACTTTCCCTCGTCTAGGACTTGGTTATGTAGCTGGATGCACCCGTCGATGGTAGGGTGCATGACGATGCCGCATGGAAATGGCTTGAATGTGTTCCTCTCGATCTCCCAAGTTCCCTTTCCTAGTTGCGCAAAGTTGGCCGATGCATTCTCGCGTGTGCTGACTACGTGTAGCCAACCGTATTTATCCTCCAGGGCTGTGAGTGAACTTGTGTATCCTTTCTGTGCTAGGAGCGCGGCTAGCATGCCCCCTTGCGTCGCGCGCCCGATGTGGAACGATTTGGTCATTGAGCCGAAAAAGGCTTGCATCCCGATGACTTGTGTAGAGGCGATTCCTATCGCGTGCTGAAGGTGCTCCGTATCCAGCCCTAATAGCTTGCCAACTGCGACAGCCGCGCCCACAGAACCTGTCGTACTTGTAATATGCCACCCCACGTCGTAGTGTTCCGGGTAGACCGATAATCCAAGTTTAAGCTCGGCCTCGATGCCGGCGACAAAAGCGGTTAGGAAATCCGTTCCTGACACTCCTCCGGTGGCTTGATTTCCATTTCCCTGAGATCGAGACTCAGCTTCAGCAATGGCAAAGAGCGCACTCGCTACCACCCCTGTAGGATGTATTATACTCGCGAGATGCGTGTCATCGTAGTCATCAACATGCGACGCGATGCCATTGATAAACGCAGCGACTTGTGCGTCCGCAAACCCTGGTTCTATCCCGAACCCCACCCCCTTTCCATCCAGTGAGCCGTTCAGACCGAGGATACTAGACGTCGGCGGCCCGCCAAAACCTGCGGATAATGACGTGTTGAGCGCGATCTGTGGTGCAGCTTGTGCGAACCCGCCGATGGCGCAGCCGGCCCAGTTGTAGATGCTCTTGACGGCTGCGTCGACCACGGGTGCAGTTAAGTTGGCGTAGGTTAGACTTGTGGCCCAGGATGCTAGCGTAAAGGTTGCCATAATCGTTAGTACGCTGTCTGAATAGAAATTGTAGCCCTGAGGACTTAGGATGCCGCTTCTCAGCATATGAGATAAATCAAATAAAATACATAAAACAGGTCCTTTATAGAGTTGCAGAGATGATGTCAGAATACACTTCCATAGTAACAGTCTCCAAGTAGCCTTCCTAGGTAGTTTCGGGAATAGAATGGGCTTGCCATAGTATGTGAGTTGGTGAGGGGTTGGATTCGGGAGTGACTTATAGCAGAGAGTATAACTGCAACCTAACATATAACCGGACTTAAGATCTGATGACGATGGTGTTTGTTTTATGTAGAGGATAATTGAGTATATAGTCGATGAATAGGAAGATTTACCCCTATTATTTTTAAATCCCAAAATAGTTAAATTTCAATCTTGGTCACTATTAACTGTGAAATATTATCTACTTGTGTTTGTCTACCTTATATTAATTCAGTATTGAACTTTGAATTAAATTGAAAATACTTGTAATATTTATCGCAAGACACGCGTTAGTAAGTAAAGATTCATATACATGTTTGAAAAAAGGGCCGCCAAGTAGTAATGAATAGTCCAAGTCTTACAAGTAACTTATCCGGCTGACTAAAGATATACACACAAAAAAAGTTTAATTAAAACTAATAGTTAATCCATTGTTCAAGTGATAATATTTAATTAATGGCTTTATTTTTAATCTTTTTAAGTTTATTTAAGTTAATAATACGGTTTAACAATACATTAAACAAGTTGTGTTTTTTATAATAAAACCGTTAATGTTATATAAAAAATAATAAATTAACCATTTAAATACTTATTTAACCTTTGTTTGTTATACCAAATTAAATAATGTAATAAAACTTTTACGCATAATTGTTAATTAAATAATTAATTAATTGGTATATTTAACGTTAAAATAAAAAGAAAAAACCAGTTTTTATAAACTTTTTTAAAAATATATAACGTATAAAATTATTTAAAAACTAATATATAAAATATTTATTTATATTTATATATATATTATATTATTAATTTTTTAATATTTTATAAATTTAACTTTAAAAAATATATATAATAATATTTTAACCATTTTTATTAACTTTTTTAAATAAATTTATATTTAATATAAAATTAATATTTAAAAACCGTTTATTAAAATACCATTAATTTACTTTTAAACCATTTTATATTACATTTTTAAAAATATAAAGTTTATTTTAACCGTAAATATTATTTTATTATAATTTAATTATTAAATATAATTTTAAAACATTTTTATTATATAATACGTTATTAAACGTTATATTTTTAAATTATTATATATAAATTAAAAAAAAATAAAAAAAAAAACGATTAAAAAAAAAAAACTTTTTTTTATAAATTAAAAACCTTTAATTTAAACTTTTTAAATAAGTTTTATTTTATTTATTTAATATTTAATATTAAAAGTTATTTTAGTTTTTAAACCAGATATTTTTAAAGCGGGTTACGCCCGTTATACGCCACGTAACGCGTAATTTATGTGTTTATATTTATAAGTCACGGGTAAAACATTTAAAAATATTTGGTTTAAAATTATATAATATTATAAAAGTTTTTAACGCTTTTATTAATAATAAAAAAATCAAATATTATATTTATAATGATTTAATATATTATAATAATATACGAAATAATTTTAATTTTAATGATTTAAAATTTATAATATGTTTTTTTTAATTTTTTATTTTTTTTATATATTTATACGATATTACGTTTTTATATATTAAATTTTAACGTTTAAAAATCTTTAACGTTTTAATTATTTACTTAATATTAAACTTTATATAAAATATTTAAATATAATAATTTAATATTTTATAACCACATATAAAATCTTTTTTTTTAATAATTTAAAATTAATACATTTTTTAAGCTTTTAGTTTTTTTTACATATTTATATTAAACTTTAACGTTTATTACAATTATCGTTACGCGTTACGGTTATTATTACAACCGGTATTATAACCGTTATTACAATTAACGCGTTATTACGGTTAACGCGTTATAACCGTTATAACCATTTTTAATACTTTAAAAAACTTAAAACGCGTAAATTTAATTAATAAACTTAATAATAAAATTAATATAATTATATAATTAATTATTATTTATTATAAAAACATATTAATATTATTATTTTAAAATATTAAACGTATAATTTTAATATGTAAAGTTTTAAACTTATTTTAAACCATAAATTTAATATTATTTTAAAAAGTTGTTTTAAAGTTTAATTAATTAAAAAAGTAATATAGTTAAAAAAGTACAATTTTTTAAATTAATTTCGAATTTATGGTTTAAAATTACTTAAAATAAATTAAAGGTTAATTTTTTAAAAATATTATATAATTTTTAAAAAATGTTTAAACTTTTTAAATTTTAATAAAAATCTTTATTAATATATAATTTAATTTACCAATTTAAATTTAAAAATAAACCATTTTTATTTTATATTAAATTTTTAAGTTTTTTTATAAAATATTAAATAATTTAAAATTTTAATTTTATTACAAATATAATTTAATTTAATATTTAAATAATTAAACTTTTTATAATATTATATAAAATTTTTATACTCGGAATAAACGATTAAAAAATAATATAATATTTTTTTTAACAATTTTAATTTTTATAAACATTTAAATTTAATTAATAATTTAAAAAATTAATATAAATTTAAAAATTTAACTTTATTAATTTATTATTTTTAAAAATTTATAACTATTTTAATATAATATTAACAAAATATTACAACATATATTAAAACTTTATTTAAATTTTTTAAAAATATAATATTTTATTTAATTAATTTATTAATTTATTCGTTTTTTACAATTTTAATATAATTAAATATTTAACATACTTTAATATCCGTTAATATAACCAAATATTAAAAATTTAAAAAAACCTTTTAAAAATTTAAAAATAATTTTTTTTTAAATTCTTTAATAATTATTATATTATTTAAACATATATAAATTAAATATTTATTATTAATTTTTAAAATTATTTAAAATTTATATTTAATTTTTTTTATTTTTTTATTAAAAACTTTTATTTATTACAATTTTTTATAACCATATTTAATATTATATTAATTTTTATATAAAATATAATTATATTTTATATAACTTTTTAATTATAAACCATTTAAATAAATTATAATATATATATTAAAAAAAATACATAATTATATTCGAAAAACTTTAATTACATTTTCTTTAAATTACCTTTTAATAAATGATTTTTTAAAACTTAATATATATTATTACATTAAAAATTTAAATTAAAAAAAAAAAAAATTTATTACATATTATATTTACGTACATATTTTAATAAAATTTTTAATATTACATTTATATATTACAAATTTTAAAACTAATTTATTTATTAAAAAATATTATTTATTAACAATTTTAAATTTAAAAACTAATTTATTTTAAATTTTATTAAAAATTATTTTTATTATAAATAATTTAACATTTTTATAAATAATATTTTTAAAAATCATTTTTTAAATAAAAAATATAACCTTTATAACGCCATTTAAAACTTTATTAATTTTTATAATATAAAATTTTTATTTAATATTAACTTTTTTACTTTTAACTTAAACATTATTTATAAATAATTTAATTTTTTTTATATATTATATTTTTATTTTATATATAACAATTAATAATATACATACCATTATTATTTTACAAAATAATTTTATTAAAAAATTAAATTTAATATTAGTAAAATTTTTTATATATTATATTATTTACTTAATTTTATTTATTAAAATAAAAATATATTATTAAAAAATAAACTTTTAATTAAATTAAACGTTTAATTAATATATAAATATAATTCTTTTATTATTATTTTATATTTAACATATAATAAAATTAAAATTAAATATATAAATATTTAAAACATAATTATATTTAATTTTAATAAAATATATAAATTTATATTTAATAAAAATAAAAATAACTTTATTATTTTTACTTTAATTAAATATTTATTTAATATTATTTTTAAATTATATTACATTTTTATTAAAAATTTTTCCCATTTAAAAAATATATAAATTATTAATATAATTAAAATAATATTAAAAATTATTTAAAAATACGTTGGTTATATAAAATAAAAAAAATTAAAAAAATTAAAAACTTTTATAAAAACTTATATTATATATTAAAAAAATTTATAACAATATTTTTAAATTAAACTTTAACTTAACATTTAATTATAAAAAATAATACATATTTTATTATAAATAACGGTTATTTTTATTATTTTAAATATACAATAAAACATTTATTAAAAATTAAATTAAAAACATTTTATATATTTAAAATAATTATAATTACCATTTTATAAATTTTAAAAACATATTTTATATTATATATTAAATACGTTATAAAATTTATTATAAAACGTTTTAAAAAAAATTTTATTTATTATAAATTAATTATTTTATAGAAAAAAATTATACGTTTTATTTTTTTTATAATAAATCTTTTTAAACTTTTATTTAAACATAATAAAAACATTATTAAACATTATAATTTAATATTTATAAAATCTTTTTTATTTATTTTTAATAACATTATTATTTTAATTATTTTAAAAGGTTTAAAATAATATTTAACCTTTAAATTAATTTAAAAAATAACTTATATATATTTTATAATATAATTTTATACCGTTTTTAAAAAATATACTAAAAAATTATTAATGTTAAAAATAATATTTTTAATAAAAATCGTAACCGTTTTTATTTTTTTTAATATAATTATAATATTTTATTTTAATATTTTTTTAAAAATTATTAAAACATTTAATAAATTTACGTTTAAATTATCGTTTAATATAAATATTTTAAAAAAACCTTTTTAAAAAACTTACATTTTATTATTAATTTTTTTTACCGTTATACCATTTATTAAAAATAAAAAAACTTTTATTATTAAATTAAATTTATATTAATTTATTATTTTATATAATTTAACATTATTTTTAATATTTTTTATTTTACTTTTTTAATAATTATATTTTATAAAATATATTATTTTATACAATTTTTATTTTTCCGTTATTAATAAAAAGCCATTTTTTAATTATATACACTTTATTTTATTAAATACTTTTTTATAATCTTTGTTTTATTAAAATACGTTATAACTTTTATTATTTAATAAATAACCAATTATCATTAACACATTAATAAATAAATCTATTAATATTTATATATTATAATTTATTTTTTTAACATTAAGTTTTTTAAATAACGTTAAAAATAAAAAAACCTTTTTTTTTATTATTTTTAAAAAAGTTAATAATTTATTATTTAAAACCGTAATTTTATATTTTTTTAATTTAAAAATC